TTTTGTAGTATACATATTATCCAGGATTTTCTAACGAACCCAGGACCTGATCCCGTGGGATAGGAAACGCAACGGATCATTAACCACACTAATTGCACGGTTATATTGTTATTATGGACCGTCGGCGTGGGTTAGACATAATATTTTTATGACCATCGTTATTTTATTACTATGGGGCGGAATAGTGTAAAAAAATCGACCATAAAACAAATAATACACCACCTCTGTACACGTCAAGAGCGCGTTAGGTTATGGTTTTCCCAGTGCCCTGTTGGCGTTTATTACACGAATAAAACTTTCGGGTTTTATGGGAAAAACCCAAAGCCGGAGATAACGCGATGGCACCGCCGGGGCGCCAGAAATTTGTCCGTCTATATGTTTTTATGTACAAATCAATACAATTTATATGACATGATGTTCCAATCGGACCAGGGACTTGGAGGTCATCACTATTTGCTTAGAAAATTTTACACATTTTCTTTTCTACAGACATTTAATCATCATTGACAACAGTGACAACAGTAGTTTACTAAACAAATTTTAACATAGTAATATAGTATTAGTTCTCAATATTTTTGGAAATGTATTAATAACAAAAATGTTTCAATGATAATTTTAAAATTTATATTAAATTAAACCAACATGAATTTACGACAAACAAGTATTAATGTTTATTTTTCTATTGGTTTGTAAGCACAGACTGATTAGGAGAGTTAGGATAAAACTATACCTATCTTTGAAACTCTGTAACCTATTCTCTAGTAGAATTGCTTGTAAACAATTTTTTTGAGCTCCGTTTCTTTATTTGACAAAGATGTGGTAATAATTTACACTGACAAACTGCTTAAGTAGATTATTCAGCTATAACTTGGCAATAAACCTTTTTAGAAATATCGTTGCACTGCTGTGATTTTTTTTTTTTGTTGCCCAAAACAAAAATGTGGGCAAAATGTGTTTCCTGAAATAAAACGGAAAACGTTCCGGCGACAGAAATACACACCGGTCAAAAGTTACGATATTTTATATACATTTTCGCTGTCTGTTCACATTTAAATCGTATACCCTATTCTGGAAATAAAAAAAACGTCACAGAAGAGTTATTGCAAAAAAGATTGTGGAAGTTGAACAATTTCTTTTTTTTGCCCCGAAACAACCGAAAGCACATCGTTCATGCCAACATAATATTTCCGAGGTCAGTTCGTTAAAAAATATATATTATATAAATATATTTATAAAAATGTGTATTTACGTTTCGTTTGTTATTATTATTGTATATATATATATATTTTTTTTTTTTTGTATACAATTCACAAGATATTCACAGACAGGCCCATAAATCCTAATGATTTGCATTGAATAAGTTGGAAGCCACAGAACCCACCTTTTACAACTACTACTATATACTTACTGCAATCTATATATATATATTTTCACCCTCGCCGTTACAATATTATAATATTAAAACTAATTTATAACAAAGTTGGATTTTTCATTTCGCAAATCGTTAAATATTAAAACACCATTCCAGCAGTAATAATAATAATAATATATACATTTTAATAACGACAACCCTTGTGATTTATAACCTTTTAAAACTTTTAAAACATACATCTCTATCGCTCGAAAAAGGCCACTAAAAAATATCATATCAACATCACATTAACGGGTTAAACGCGTTTGGAATGTGTAATAAATATTTTTTTTTGCATAACTTATTGCCAATTGTAGTTGCTATTTTTTTTTTGGTACAGAATTTAAATTAATAGCGCTACTATAAAAATCCTAGTTAACTATTTATCTATGAAAATAGTAAAACTAATAATATTGCACTTTTTTTTGGAGGGGGGGGGTTAAATAATTGTGGATTCGAGTTTTCGATTGGTCTAAATCAGGGCCCGACCGTTAAATATTTCCAAAAATAAAATAATATGTCAACTTACACACATTACATTAGAAATCCACTGAAATGTTCGGTTTAAAACACAGACAATAGGAAATGAAATAATGTTTACTATACAGAATTTTTGTACTTTCAAGGTGAAATAAAAAAAAATCAATAAAACATGAACATTATATCATTGGAATTGACATGGCCAAATTATAATATCAGCAGCCGGATTTACCATCTATTATTAAATAAACTATTAACATAATGTCAGTTAACAATTCATTTAAATTTAACATCTGCCTAAATTAAGTAAGTTTCACCATAACATTATTATTATTAAATTAGGTATATTTGTTAATTTAACGAAATGTTACTTGGGTTACCAAAGCGGTTACCTCGATTCCAACGTTCTCATTGGTTATCCCAAAATGTGATAACTGATAAGTGATAATATTATCATTTCATAATCAAAACTTAATTAGTAATGTATAATTCGATCTATGACATTTTAACACGCCAATCAACTTTTTAACAAGATTATTTCGTTTGATTAACCTAACAATCGTTTTGACAACGTGTTAAGGGCTAACGAATCGACCAAAAAGAGACACAAAATTCAATAACTAGATTAGTGTTAGTGTCATTTAGAACCTAACCATTCTAAGTCTGACCTCAACCTAACCCAAACGAGCCTAACAATAATCTTGTTTTTAAATTTCATACTATGGTTTCCTTACTTCCGGTCGGAGTGCAAAGATGATTATTAAAGCAGAGGGTCCACGGAAGGTGGCAGCTCCCTTGGGGAGGTTCAAATGGTCGAGTTTTGAGATTATTTTGACGATTTAGAGTGTTGCAAGTAGTTTCGAACCGGGTTTACCATACACCTTATTTAACTACCTATACCGCTTTTGCCGTTCCAACGGGGGTGTCGTGGCTCGGTGTGTAGGGTTGACGTATACCTGGCTCACCGCGGTTACCCGTGAGTTATTGTTCTGTTGATTTATTATCGAAAAACTGTCTAGAAAGCTTTTCATACCCGCGAGAGCAAAAGAGATTTACCACCGTAAACCCGCGGTTTCAGTGGCCGAACAAGGTATGCTAAGGGGTAATGGGGGGTGGGGAGAGGGTAGGGGTTGGTGTGTTGAATCTCGGTTTTGGTCTTTTCAAATATGTTTTCTCGTCGGAATTCAGAGATAGGTAGGTAATGAGCGGAGAGAGAAAAAATTACAAGAATGTTAAGGCTATTTATATAAATAGTACATTTTTTTCATCCGTTCATTTCAAAAAACCGCGATTGACAATGGCCAAAACAATGACATAGGGGGGCCAAAAAAGGGGAGGGGTGGCAAGGAAAAAGGGTAGATACTACCCCAGAATTATTGTGTAAACTGCAAACGATGGTAAATTGAGAATCGTCTCCTGAAATATATTGTTTTTGTTTTATTTCATCCTTCTATCGTTGGCCGTTTTCAATTTAAAAACAACAACAACAATAGCCAGTGCAATTTTTGGTCTCATATCTCGGGTTGGATATATACTTGTCTTATACTATGGGAAATAAGGTCTTATCTTATCTTATGATCTATTTTATATTCCTCAATAATCTAAAAAAATATTCATTAAAACATTAACTTAACCTAACCCTAAAACAATTTTGCAATCGACCGGTACCACGGAACACCTTATGCAAAGAAAATGTATTTCTGTAACATTTGTATTTCTTTTTTATCAATTGCCTTATTTTCATCTATTGATCTGTTTTGAGTTAAAGAATTATATATATATGATTATTAAGATAAGACTGGGACACGGTAATGCGGATTTTGCTGAATCTATCAACTTGTTATTTTTAATATGTAAACAAATATTCCCAGCAAAATAAATATTACAAAAATCACCATGTTACAAAATACGATACAATATTTGTATTATATTGAATAAAATTACACTGTAAACTTAATAATATGTTGTAAACATTTCAAACGAGATTATAATACAATATGTTGGAGAGGCTGTTGTCAAGTTAAAAGCCTGCTTCTGTCATAATATTTAATGCTTTAAGACTGTAGTGACATAAGGACTACTGACTGAGTTATATTGAACAAGTAAAGTTGTTTGCACGACTCTAATTATAATTTATTATTCGGCTAAATATTTTGGTATTGTTTTTTTTTTTTTTGATAAAGAATATATTAACATTAAGAAAACGCTTGAAAATTCATAAGACATATTTTGCATGTTTATTATTATATTAATTTCTACTCTCAATAGGATTTTTAATCAATGTTGTTGATTTTTTTTTTCTATACAAATTTGTAGTATTGGAAAGTAACAAAATTAAATACAATTAAGAATACAAGTTTAAAACAAATGTATTTGTGAAATTCATTTGAATAGTATGATATTGTTTAAGTGATATTTTTCTGAAAATTAAGTGGAGAGCAGTTAACAATTTAAATTATATAAATCCCATCAACTACACTACATAAATGTCATTAATAATAATATATTACATGGTTAACACTGCGTTGTCTACGTCCTAATCAAAGTCCAATATATACTTTCCAAGGGTACACACTTCTCTATTTGTCGGTACTCGAAATTAGTGTGTTTAACAGATTGCCAATGGTTGCGATTGCTTATTTTTTATCCAAACTCCTTTATGGGAAAATCGATTTCCCTTCAATTTTAACACATGTTAATATATTTCATGAGTTCTCAGCGTTTAATAGAGTAGGTGAAAAAATATTTTTCTTAACATGCTGTGTAATGATATGACATAGTTATTTCTAAATTTAATTCATCTATTTCATAAAATCTAACTTTATAAAAATTGCTGACACTAAATTTGAGTTTTTCAGAATGGGTAGTAGTTTGAAAATTATAGTATTTTAAAAACGCTATTAAACGGTCAAAACGAAACGTACGTAACATTTTCTTGAAATTTGTTTTAAATACCTATTTTTTCAACCCACAAATTGCCCCTAACCCTATCCAATTCGATCGCCATGCGCGCATTAGCTTTTTTGTGAGGGTGAGATGCAGGGGCGGGGGGCTGTATGCTAAACGAAAAAGTAAAAAAATATTATTTGCAAAAAATGTGTGTACTTACGGTTTTAACGTATTAACGACGACAACGACGAGACTTGGCGCGCGATACAGCCGGTGTAGCAAAAGTCATCCCGTCACAGACTCCGCGAGCGGTGTGATTTCGACGGCGAGCTGCATCGAAGGGCTGTGAAGGCCGGGAACAGTCGGGAGGAAGGTCCGGACGAGAGGGGAGGGCCCCGGGAGAGGCACGGGAAAGAGCGGGAACGAGCGTCGCACTGAGAGGGGAGAGAGAAGGGATGGGCAAACGGGAGAGCACGACGCAGACGCAACCCTTTATATACACCTCTCATCCCTCTTCGCGAATCCACTCACCCCTTCCGACGCGACATACCCCTATCGCATACGTTATAAAGTCTCTATATATTATTATAGTCCCCGGCCGATTTCCTATACCGTTATTATTTTTATAATCGCGTTGTCCTTGTTATTGTTTTGTACCTGGGCGATTGTCTGAAACTAAGGAATTTACCTGTCCGCTCACTTTTACTAGACTTGTGTTTTGATTTTTAGAAAACTTGTTTACACTCTATGTGAAATAGTTCCTGATCAACGTTTTTTTTTTAGCAAAATTAAGATATTTAATAAATCATCTCATTCCAATAACAAAAAAAAATAAAATTGGTCGAATTTTCAGTCCCTCGCCGTGTCCCACACCCCCATGTCGTAGATGTTTGTCCTTAATTCTCAATCACTCACCTACACCTAGTTTGGTAACCCCCTTAACCTAACCGTTTTACTTAGCTGAGAAGGTTTGTTTTTGTGTGTGTCTGAACCCACGTTGTCTTTTGAACCGTTGAACTGTAAGGTACTTTATGGGACCAAACATTTTAAAAGTTCACCCCTTGCCAGATTCGAATGGAAGCGTCGCATCGTCCAACCCTCATTACCTCTACTACAGTTCATGGCTTCAACAGAGCAGTGATGTTTTTTTTTTTTTAATTTTAATTTTACAACCTTAAAGAAGCTGAATGTGTGCCGTGTCGAATAACATTTACCCAAATAATAACGCTATATCACATTACGGTCGTAAACGCACCCTTCACACGCTGTCTGGCACTTAACCATCACTACATTGCTCTTACAATAATATACAGGTATTCTTTGTTTTCCTACAGCAGCAGTACTAGGTGTAATAAGTTTATTGCATTCCAAAAATGTTGTTTTCGACAGCTGGCTCAACTCAACGTTATTGCAAATACCTCGTTTATAAAAAAAAAAAAAAAAAAAATACAGCATAAAACGTTAAAAGCACAATATGGGTTTTAAAAAAATACACATTCAGGCACAACATATGAATTGCTTATAAATATTATAACTATATTATGATAATTTCAACTGTTATATGAATACTTCTTGTTTTACAATTGTTTTTTGTATTTTTATCTACTAGTGCGGTACTCGTTAAAGTACAACATTTACCTTCGAGTCATGAAATGTGTTTGAAAAGTTCTATCTTCTTGTGTTGTATTAACATAATTACTTTAGTTTCAGAAAACTATATTATTATGTTGTTCCGATGCATCTCATATTCATTAGAAAACGCCGCCAGGCAATACGGTAGTGCATGTTGAAACTTGCATAATATTACAAGCAACTTCATATCAACTGTATTCAATAGTAACACATACCGACTATTTCTATAGTACTTTACATATATATATAATAATTTGACGGTTGTATTATTTTTTTTTTAATAAAATTTGTATTACACGGAGTAAGAGGCTCTTCAGGTCGTGCAGAAAGTATTAATTAACTTGAGCACTGAAATAATAGTAAAAGTACCTTAACAATTTAATTAGTGCATGTTAAACTTTAAGCGAAAACCGGTGTTTTTGCTTTATTACATTTTGTTTGTAACTTCTCCAAACCTAATTAGCTTACTGTTTGCAATTACACATATATATATATATAATATAATCTCTGTTTATAGCTTTATAACAACTTATTTTTCGAAAGATGGCCGGTAAAAAAAAAACAACTATAGACATTTAAGATAATCATTTATAGTATAGACCTCTGCCTTTTAAAGAACACCTACAAAAGCAAAAAAAAAAATGCCAAAAATATCTACCCCTAATAATGAACAATATAATTATTTTTGAATTTAAAAGAAACGCTCAACTAGAATATCAAACGTGAGGTGCAGATTTATCATAAGATTGGACTTGATACAACAATAGAATCTCGGGCAGGTTTATTGTTGCGTTCCATTATTAACAGACGTACAATGTAATAATAATAATAATATAATACAGTTAAATCAGTCGCCCGAATTCGTGGAAAATTAACATGGACGTGTATAACCCTTTCTGACCCTACTGCAAATTACTTCTGAGAAGTAAGTTCATTCATAGGTATGTTATCATATTGTGTATTAGTTGACCCAACACAAAACCGCATTAGGCGAGCAAAAGGACCAACAATGTCCAGAGAAATTGTAGAAGTTGATTTAGTATCCAGTAAATTTAATAGTCAAATTATATCTTTAAGTTGTACTTCAAAATTTACAGAACATTCATATAGAAAATTTTAATGTTAGTGATGACAAAATGTTTTCATCTAACATTAATAATTGTCAATAATTAATTTACTGTCAAACAGCAAATTGTTTGTTTAACGTCAATTGTTACTTTACTTTTTAAGTCTAATTTATAAGTAAAGAAAATTGAATGTTTATAGACATATTGCAATTATTAACAGAAATAACTGTGAGAACGAGTTGGTCGGAAAAAAGTATCTTACTATGTTACCTAATGTGATCAATATTAAAAAAAATAAAAACAATAATAATTAAAAGATAAGTGGTTCATAATTGTACACACAATATGTTGCTATACAATTTTTCTTCTACAAGTTTTCCTATTTAACAGGTTTATTTGGTCAGCATAAAAAAGTATTCGATTTGACTTTTGTTTTATATTTTTAAGATTTGTATAAAATCAAAGCATATTATGTGTATCAAAATTGAATCATTGAGGCTAATGGAAAACAGTAGTTATTTTTGGATTCGTAAATGTTATATTTTATACCTCAAGTAAAGTAAATATAAATGAAACTTTATCTGGGGATCAACTAAAAGTGCTTATTTTAAAGTGTACTTTATTTTTCGTTTTCCAAATACCGTTCTGATATTATGCGATAAAACGATTTGGATTTATTTCAAATAACGTTAACACTCTCAAGTTGAATTTCAGCAAGAATACCAGTCATAAGACTACCAAGAATTAAATTACATCTCAAGGTGTCAGATAAACGAGAACTCTAGGTCAAGTAGCATTTTTTTAGGTGTTTTAGATTTTATTTCCAATTATTATATTATTAAATTCACTTGAAATACGCTCATAAAATCGTTTTTAGTGACCTAAATTACAAGAGTACATTAAAAAAAATATTATTTCCAATTGAACGATCAAAATCATTATAGTATCATAATCGCATTAAAAAAAAGTACAAAACAAATTTTGAGATAAAAAAAAAAAGAAGTTTCAAAAACTTAAGACTCTCCGAACAAGTATAAAAACTTATTGCAAAATATTACTTAAAACAAGCTGTATATAGCGTTACATTGCAACAATATAATTTAATAACACTTCGTTGAAGAATTATTTTATTTTTACATCCAAGTTTTTCAGGAAATCAAAATATATTTTTTACAAAAAATAGTATTCGAATGTTCTCACAAAAAATATACCATGTCTTTCAATTTCAACTCAAACATTGTTTTTATTGATTTGTTGATTGTTAGTTAGGCGCATGTATGTATAGCGTTCAGTATCGACTTGACAGTCACTTTTGAATTGGAAAATTTGTTGTATCAAGTGTAAGCTTTATCATGAATTGGTTTAGGCCATATTCAAACAATTATACAGTGATGTATAATTTGTAATTTTTTTAATAGTTCTCGAGCAATTATTATTTTACTTACAATTTGTTTTATGGATATTATTTTCGGATTGAGTTTTGTAATTTTAAAATAATTCCTGAAGTCGTTTCCGTCTTCTTTACTCGGCGGTTGTGTATCGGAAATGAAAATACTCGAGGCACTGTACAATATTGATTTTTATTTTTTTTTAGGATATTTTTGAATATACTTAAGTATGGTATAGCCGCAATAATATTATATTACATCTCATTCGGGTTTGGCGGCCGCAAACTTCAAACACAGAGACGTTGCCGCCTTTGAGTACGGTTAGGTACATGTTACAATGCCGGAATAGAAAAACTTTCATCCCCAATGCTAATTCACCGGCAAAGGCGGTAATAATGTAAATGCGCGATCCGCTTCCTTCTTTTGGAGAAGACGGTGGTGCAAATGATGGGGGGGGGGGGGTGCACGATACTTGGCCTCGAGCATCGATTTCGGGCAGCCGATATTGTCATTTTATTGTTCCCATGATTTATGGCCACCGGAAACTTTTTAATATTTTCTTCGGGGCTTTTTTTTTTAAAACGCAATAACACTACGTTGGCAAAGAGCCGAAAAGTTTAAGCTTTTGCTTCGTCGCTCAAGGGTATACACTACTTACCTACCTACCTCGGTACACTACGATATTTATGTGAAAACCTACCTACCTCTCGCAGTAACAAAACAAAAAGTAATTATCGCCGCAGAAACGACTACTGTAACACACTATAACAGTACAGCCACGTGAGATGGTAAAGATTAAACCGATGATCTCACCGAATTATCACAGATCAGAATATAAAACCAGACGGTGTTACACTTGGCGTTAAACTTATTGATAAATGAAACCCTCGTCGACTTGGTGTCTAAATCGCATTCTTGGAATTAAATTATTGTACAAAACGGTTTACCACATAATATGTACTTGACCAATTATTTTCGTTATTACTGTTTATGCCTGTTTAACCAAATTGTAGTTTTAATAGCACTTTTAATTTCCAAAAAAAAAAAAACCCATTCATTATTTGGATATCGGCCAAGTGATGTATTAAAAAACATTCACTTGGTTAGTTATTTTTTTAATCAATTTAACCATTCATTCGAGTTTGTTCGTTGTGAAAACAAAACATAAAATTTAAAATCCCTTATGCCTTATCTCTTATCTCTCTTATGTTATCATATAAATCAGCTGATATTATCGTTATGATAAGAAATGAAAAAAACTGTCGATTTTTCCGTGTGTGTACCAAAGCAAAGACATAAAAACGTCAAAAAATAACATAGCAAAAAGAAATACTGGAAAAATTAATTGACAAGATATTTTCGGTTGTAAACGTTTAATCGATCATCTAAATGGTAAGAGCTTTGATGGTTTTGTTGTTTTATTACATACCGCGTAATGGCGTTGGAAAATTTTTGTTTCCCACAATCCACTCTCAATCGATTGAACTCTTGTAAACAACCAAGTATTCCTTATCCGATTTTCCCTAATCCATACCCACATAAAACGTATACACAAATCTGGACCCCACTCCCTTGCCCGTTATTTAGTTTTCCCTTATCAAACAAACTTCAGTGATTAAACCCAGTGCGAATTACTTTTAAACGTTTGGGAGTTTTTGTTTTCCAAGGAAAATTTTTTTTTTTATTGTATTGGGTGACTTGTACTGAATTAATTAGTTTAAAAAAAAATGTGTTCCCTTTAACGGGAAAATCAAATAATCAATATTTGTCGACAAAAATATTGTGTATTTTGAAAATATAAAACGACGGCCTGCCAAACTTTAACTATTTAACTTTTTCCTGTTTAACTGAACTTTCTGAGCTCCGATAATTCGATGGCAGAAATCTTGCACTAAATCGTCACTTTCTCGGAGGTTTTTGCATTCGTTTTTCCATCGTTGCACCCGTTCGTCCAGTGATTCTAAAAAAAAATCAGCCATTAAAAAGCATAAACCATAAACACAATCATAATAGTGAATAACCATCTATCGATCAACCGTACCTTCAGTGATTTTTTCAACCGGTATTTTCCACGTATAACTGTCTTTGTATAATGTAGAATAACACAAAGGGAAATTTGGTAAAACGTCCTGCAAATAGATTTCAAAAATATGTTATCTCTTGAATGATATTATGTTAATTAGGCATGTTTAAATAATGTAAAACACACTTTTTGTTCTATCAAACAACCGCTAGTGCGATAACTGAAAAAATATCAAATTCGCAAAAACTTCAACGTGTATTTTTATGAAATATAAATGAAAACTTATTTTTAGTTTTCCAATCTTAGCTATTGAAGATTTGGTTGTACAAAAATCCAGTTGTTTTTTATTTCTAAACATAAAGAAGCTGCTGAATAGTGGCTCATTGTGTTTTATTAATATTTAAATTTCACTAAATTAGTGGTTTCATTATAAAACTCGTTTACGTTTATAACAGGTTGAGGTTGTCCATAGTCTAAAGGCGGTTCAATTCTTTTGTTGTCGCCAAGTTTATTGTAAATCACTTTTGGCGTATAAAGTTTTTTCAATTTCTCTTCGTCCAGTTTCGGAATTACGGATATTTTAGGTTCGGCTCTTAAACATTAAGTAGAATAAATTTATAAAAAAAACTGTTAAATATTGATTGGATGAATACTTACGGATGGAAACACGGTTTGGGTAAGTTTTCCGGCCATTCGTAGTCTTTTTTATAATTGGTTTTATACATGTCGACTCCTTAAAGCGATAAAATTATCAAGTCATTGGAATTAAATGATATATTTACTATATTATGTTGATTATTAATCTATATACAGCTGTTGTTAGGGACAATATCGTTGTTAATTCAACCGTGTATGTAATGCTTATTAGATAACAGCTAGAGAGAGATTTTATAATGAACGTGTTCCTTATGGTCATAATATTTTTCCATTTGAACCAATCTATATTTATTGTTTTATTTAGGAAAAAAAAATATATTGGTTTGATAAAAAGTCACCATAAATTCTAATCAGATTATACCTGACAATGTTTTCTTCTTGACAAAATAATTTCAAAATGTTATGTTATCAATTTTTTTTTTAGTATCTGTCATCTAGTTTACCGCAATACGGTGAAGTAAAATGTTTTCTTACTCGAGTCGTGGACGGTTGTCCGGAAATGGGCTTCATTGAAACGTCTATGTTCAAAGAAAGCGCTTGCCACGGTCCCATGGTCGTATCTCATAAAACAATTCATTTTAAAATAATACAACTAAAGCCGTCGTATACGGATGGGCTCCAGACGGGTAATAAATATTTTTACAAGCCCTGATCAAACAAAACCCTGAATTGATCAATCTTAAGGCGCATATCGTTGCCATGGGAGTGATTCCCAAGCCGCCGTTGTCGTTGACCCGTCCAATGTAGTTTTTCATTCAAACATATCTATAACTAATCCAGGATTGCAGGATTGATAATGATCCGTTGTTATGATATGGATAAATAGCTCATTCGGTTAGAAAATTATAATTATTCTATACACAAAATATTACAAGGGTTGACACGTTGGCTTCTCGTGGCACGTGTCATGATTGCTTTATGTATTGAAATTTTGTTAAAAAAAAGTAAAAGTAAAAAAATAGCAGAGCAACCTTTTCAGAAATATCATTATTCATTCAAGGCGAGAGATGTATATAGTAATTATCTACAAAACGTTGCGCGCATATATTATAATAATAACTTATTTAATTGATTCCAAAACACTGAACATGGTTAATGATAACGAAAAAAAAAAAAATGCATATCATTAAGTCGGTGGGTACACATGGCAATCCATCATGACGTTATACCGTACAACAGTATTCGGATGTGGTAATAATGATGAAACGTGCAACGTCGACAGCGGCTGTTTGGCCAACAAAACAAAAGATTTTGCAAAGCTATTAAAGTTGGCTTTATTCTATGCAACCATTACTATATATATATACTAGTATAGTATAATGTTTCTTTTGTGTAACCCCGTAAGATTAACGATCAGAAAAAGCGACACAATTACACTTACAAGACAGAAAATAACAACTTAAATAACGCAGTAATGATATCAACATTTGTACAGGCTTAGTTTATTGGTTTAGTATCTAATCAATATTTTAATTGTGTTGTTTTTTTATAAGACAAAGTTGGTTGCTGACATTTTCTTGCTAAACCGAGTGAGTACCTTTTACGTATCTGAACCACGTTGTAGGTTCATAAACGAACGGAGTAGGAAATTTATAGGTTTTGGTAGGAAGTAAAATCACCCATAAAAGGAACGCCCATAAATATGTGAGAACAAAAAATCGTCCTCGTTCAAAAGTTTCTATACCGACACAATATGGCGCAAAGGTAATTTATAAGAATGAACGGACTGACTGTGTGTATAATAATATGGTTTTGCGTGTTAAGCTTAATAGCTTCGCGTGAGGTTTAGTCCCTAGTTAATCAACTAATGGGATCCTTCGCCCTGCATTGCATTCCAAACGTGTGCCGTTTCATCATTGGAAAAAAGCCAATACAGAGTAATATTCAAAAACTTTTTCAATGTAACCGTGTAAAGCTTGCGCATAACAAGAATTGATGATGATTCTGTAAAACGTAAATGGGATTTTATCCAAATGGCTTTTAGCATTTGATTAACGAAGCTAAAAATATAAGCAAACAATAGTCGTTTATAAGGTGGTTTAATGGTAAAAATGGTCTTACGATGGAATTCGACATTAGAGTTTAAAAATTTGTAAAACCAATTTGACGGTATGTGTTTTATTTTTTAAAAATAAGGTAATGTTAGCATTACATATTTTTTTTAAGTTTTAACGTTAATAAAACTACCTTAACGACATATGGCAAACGATATGTCTTGCGGAGTTTAGATGCTTCAAACCCTTTTTAATAGCTACAGAAAGTTCTGTCTTAATGTGAAATTAATAAGAAAGGTTACTAATAAAATAGCATACATTTAGTTTTTACTGAGAACAACCGAAAACCAGACTCGTATTTATTTTTAACAATTTTTGTAATTTTTTCAGACCCAAAAGATGAAAGCGAAAACTGATATCAAAAACATACATTGACGTATCTCAAATAATAATCGAATATATATTGTATTGTTAAAATCTATTGCATAAATTATTGCACAAAAATTTGATTGTTTATCTTATCGCATTTTTTTTTGTTTATTATTTACCAAAATATTTACCTTAATAACGATTTTCTGTTAAAACGGCACAGGACATAAAATTATGTCTTATAGATTTTTAAAAGTTATTGAAAAAATTATAACAAGTTGAAAAAAATGTAAATTTATCGAGTGTTTTTCTCGATTTCGAATGTGTTTTTATGGTTTGCACCTAAAATATAAAAAAGCCAGTACAGTAAGGTCGGGTTTAAGTTGTAACTCACAGCGGTCCACAATACAAAAGAGGCGAACGAAAATAGTATTACTTGAATTTTGAATTAAAAAAACATCAAACTGGGTCATAAAATAAAGACTTAGATGTGTGATTTTGTCTTTTAGTCTGTAACATGTACTATTACAAATATAAATAAATGTCTCGGGCACTAAATGAACTCAAATTTCAAACAATAATTTATCCTTTGCAAATAACTAAATATTTACTATTTTACAGTTTGACACAATTTATATCAAACTGTTTATATATTTTATAAATGTATTAACCGCGTGTACCTCAGTATGTACCAACAGTATCCAAGTGTTATATTACGTTTTTCCTTGTTTTCATAATATTCCTTACTAGGCCATTCAAAGTAAACACTTTGTTTCACGTGTGTCAGCTATACAAACTATACTCTTGCCTTTTTAAATTCATAAAATATGACCATTGTTATTATCCCATAGAGTTTGAAAATGTATGATTTAATTCTTATACTTTAAGCAAAAGTTAAAAAAGTTAAGTACAACAAATTAAACAGCATATAATATAGTGAGGTATGAGTCAAAACCGAAGAACTTAATAAAACATTATAGTAAAAATTTGTTTTTGCTTTCTTTAATATCAATGTGTACAAAGTGTGTTTTCATCATACACATGAAATAAATAGGTTACATTTAAACAACAATTGTTAAAGTTAGTAATAGTTGTTGAAATGAAAAGTAAAAGTAACACTGAAAAAAATATTTACCATATTTTATCTATGTTTCCTATTAGAAATCATAGAAGGTGAATACAATTTTATGTCAGTGCGTTTTCATTTTTTTCAATGTTCAGTTTAAAAATGGCGTGGTTTCTAATGCGTTATGTGGTTGTTAATTGTGTGTTGTGGGATTAATTAATAGAATATTATAGTATCTTAATGTACAAAATAGTCGCTATAATTATTGGAACATCAGGATTCTACGACCACGCAAGAAAATAGTTCTAGTAATAAACATAAACCAACACAGTTGTGCTAACACCATTTGTTTTCATAGATACTCTGAAGTCGCTTTAGGTTGAACCGTTGATCAAAATAGGGTTTAGTGTTTCTCAAACTATAGCAAGTATTTAAACGTCACTAAAATATTGACAATATGATTAGTCACTTTACTGCGATTCTGTTGTGTCTTTCCGGCGTTTATTGCATATCGTCCGCGGTTGACAATTTAGATTTTGATGGACTACAACAAATTTTAAGCGGCAAAACCGTCATTGCCGAATGGAACACAGTTATGGCCCAACATATATATAAAGAAGAAGCCATGGACTCAAAAAACACTGTTAGGCAGGTTGTGGAAGACTTTATGAGAAATCCCAACAACAATGCCGAGACGGACTTGTCATCGATCCGCAACATAATCAAAACAGGTTATCAATGCGCGTTTACCAAGTACGCAAGTATAACCACCTGGTTGATACTTAAGGATTTGTGGCAGTTCAAACTCAACATTGACAGGGCCATAATACATGCGGAAAGTCGTTATCCGGACATTAATGTTCAAAGAATATTTGAAGATGAAAGATTTCCGGAAATAATACTAAGGACCTTCGGCCGGTCGAGGTATAACTTAGACTATGACTTTAAATTTAAAAGAGGCGACTATCAGTTGCTCACCAAACACAAATCCGTTAGACAGGATAAGGACGAGGTGCACAAATTATGGGCAGGCATCATCGACAAGAAGCTCGGTTTGAAAATCAAGCACAAAATCTATACCGAAGTGATAAAAACGAAGCTTACAAATGAATATGCACAACCTCTTGTCGACACTATCAATGAACTCATCTGTGTTCTCAATGAGGCGATTCAAATGTTTGACAATTTCAACGTAGACAAGTGCGGAAAACACGATGGAAAATTTGTAAACATTTTCAAATCCCTAACAACCGGCGTCGAGGGTGATTTCAAGTTTGTTCTATGGGATATTGATGAAATGGTGGGCAGAGGAGAAATTCCTGGATTGGTCAGGGATCTTACAAAATCTACTCCGGAAACGTTGCCAGGAATTGACACAATAAAGGCTTCGGGCTGCTTCGTAGATAGTTTGGAATTTGAGCTTTCTGGTTTAAAAATGGATTTTGCAAACACTAATGGCTCAAAGGATATTTATGGCCCTAGCCTCGATGAACGGTATGATATCAAATATTATTACATGCTAGTTTAAATGCAAAACTCAAAGGACACATACCATCGATTTTTTCAAGTTTGACCAAATAAGCATTTACTTTGAATACATTTATTAGTTGTTTATTATGGAGTCTTACTAGTTAATATTATTTTCAAGTAGATTTTTATATTTTAATTTGATAACTTTTATATATTGTAAAATAACAAAAACAAACTTGTTTTTTTAAATGGAAAACTAAAAAATTGTAAACAATTCAAGTGACATTATATAATAATATAGAGTTTATTATTATTATATTTTAGCGAATCCGAAATAAAAATGAAACTCGTGGAAAACATAGGAAAGAAGACAATATTCGATGATAAAGTAGGTTTGATATTGTTTCGCGATGAAGTAAATTCGTTTGATGATTATCTTCAACCCAAAAATGTAATTATAAATTTGGTGTTAAGTACTTTCAAGTTGCTAATAATGTTGTGAATTTTAGGTTACCAAAAACATGACTTTAATAAACGATTTTTGTACATTTTTTCAGACCTCCTCCCGAGAATCCCAAAGTTGGTGTTCAATAAATTAACAAGGTATACAAACTATTATTTTTTTTTATCTTAAAATTTTTTCAAAATAACCTTAACGACATATGGCCAACGGTATGTCTTGTGGAGTTTAGGCACTTCAAAAACTTTTGAATAAACCTAACCTACCCTTGACTATTTTAAATGGCTTCTTAAAAGATAATGGTTTTCTTAAATGAACTACGACTTCAATAAAATAATAAGAAAGGTTACTAGTAAAAAGACAAACATTTAGTTTTTTACCGAGAAAAACCGAAAACCAGACTCATATTAATTTTTGTGTTTTTTTTTCAGACCCAAAAGATGAAAGTGAAAACTGATACCAAAAACATACATTGACATGTCTCAAATAATAATCGAATATATATTCTATTGTTAAAATCTATTACAGAAATTATTGCATAACTAAATTAATTGTTTATCTTATCGCATTTTTTGTTTTTATTATTTACCAAAATAACCTTAATACCGATTTTCTGTTAAAACGGCACAGGACATAAAATTATGTCTTGTAGATTTTTAGACCCTTTAAAGTTTTTATTACAAGCTGAAAAAAATGTAAATTTATCTAGTGTTTTCTCGATTTCAAAACTCAAGTTATATTACTTATGTAGAACGTTTGTACTTAACAAATGCATTTTTTATAGTTTTACCGTTATTTTTTTATGGATAACAATCTGTTTTTTGATCATATGTTGTTTTATTATTTGTGTTTCTGAATGTTTACACTGCTTGTACCATATGGTTAAAAATATTATAATAAATACAAATTTTGTATAATAATACTTAAAAAATATTTGTTCACCTACATATGTCTTGTATTTTAGTTAACACATGTTTTATTATTGTGATCATATTTTCTGTTCTCTTAATAAATTAATGTAATTCATCATTATTCTTCAATTTGTCGCAGTTAAGAAAATAGTAATGTTTTAACATTTCTATAAAATCAAATTAAATTTAATGTTAAGTAATAATTATAAATGTTTACATTAGGAAAATTTAATTGAATAATATTGTATCTTAATGTACAAAATGGTTATTCGCTATTATTGGAACATCGGGGCTAATACAAAAATCGACAAAACAAAATATAAAACTATTATAAACTAAAAAAATATTTAACTTTAAAATATATGTTTCTTCTAAACCAACCGATAAGCTAATTTGAAAATAAACAAGATGTGTTTTTATGGTTTGCACCTAAAATATAAAAAAAGCCAGTACAGTGAAGTCGGGTTTAATTTGTGACTCTCAGTGGTCCACAATACAAAAGAGGCGAACGAAAATAATATTACTAGAATTTTTAATTTAAAAAACATCAAAATCGGTCATAAAATATAAAATAAGGACTTAGATGTGCGATTTTGTCGTTTAGTCTGTAACTGTAACTGTATATTTTATTTCAAATTTGTATTGAATATTTTTAGACATAACACTATTTTTTTTTTTTTATTATTAAATAAAGTCCTTGACAGCTGTGGCCATTGGACTGACATTATTTTACATTATTAGTATACAATCTTATACATTATACAATAAGTAATTTTATGATAGCAATAGTTACATTTTTTAATTTTGTTAATTGGTTTGGAATTGTATATGAATTCTAAGATACTTTTGACATTATGCGTGGGTCTGGGTTCATAACACTATAAACGTTGACAAACTAAGTAAAATACCAAAAGCCTTTTTTCTCAGGATGGGCGCAAACTTTTATTTCTCTTTTTAAGGTGTAGGCGTTGTTCGAAAATGGTTTTATCACATCGAGTTATCCCTGAAGACTTGTGATGTGTTCCAACCAAATATGTCCCTACTATGCCCTGATCAAACTGTGCTGGCTTTCAGTTTTTTTTTTTTGTTAACTAAAAAAGCTTTGAATACTTATTTTTGTATTACGCACTATTTACGTTTAATTAGGACAAAACTAAATAGCGCTATAATATTGTTCGCTTTGTGAAATGTAATTATTTTGACCTTAGTTTTGCTACGTTTAGCAAAACTAAAAACGGTAGCAATTACTTTAATAGCTATTTACGTTCTTCGAAAGGCTAAACAAATACAACTGAAAACGTGTGTTTATCGCTGTGTCTGTGCAATCCCACGAGAGCGAGATAGCGTGGGTCAAATCATCATAATTTCAAAAAGGGGCGTTGGCATATTTACACAGTCTGACCTTAATTATTTCATGGGTAATACATTAAGTAAACTGCGCTCTACCTGGCTCTTAAAAATACAATTTATGAACATTTGAACCAAGTCGAACACTTTTATGCCACTTCTTTCTACCTCATTCAATTACACTCCATTTTGCTATCTGCATCTTCTGTGCAATTCCACCAAACTCTCGCATGACTGATACCAAAAACTTGAATTTCTTTACTCTATTTGTCTCTGATTATCCAAGCTTAAGTGGTTCTCCACGTCCTTGTTAAACGAACTTAAAAAAATATATTCTGTTTACATTTCTTTCAATTTCTCCAGCACCAAATTCATAAAAAAAAAATTAAACTCCATCACTTCTAACACGCTGATAGGCTTGGTAGTTGATCAATTGATTTTCTTTTACTTATCAGTTAATATCAGGGAACATTCTTCATTAAAATATATGGGCTCTTTACGGGGGATGGATTTACTATATCTGTGGACGAATCAGGGTAGACACTACAAGGATAATTACCCTTTATGTATTTTTTCTGGCAACACTGTTGGTGTCATAACTGGATAATCTATGAAATCGGTTTCAAAATTGCTCCAACATTTTTCCACCAACGTTTAGCATTAAATGATTGCACAAGTAGTGTTAACTATTATTTATAGTAATTATTATTTACCAATTACACATTGTTGTTGCACTTTTATGTTGATCGTTTGTCAAACCATGTTTTCGACGGAACGTCTCGTCTATGAATTGTCGATTTACCCTTATCACATATCTTATCAGCTTATTTTCTTATCAACCATGTATTATCAGTTGATTTTCTTATCAACAATGCCTTATCAGTAATTATCCAGGGATTATCGGTTTGCTCTTTCCTCACTTTCCCATTCCCTTCAAATCTTAATGTAACCCTCCCAAACTATCTGTTTAAGGTCAACAGCTATCAGAATTGTGTCATTAGATACTGGCCGGATAGATGAAAACTATTATATTGCGTTTTTGAATCGTTTACAACAGTATGGAATGGCTGTATATAAAAAAAAAAGAACACATGCCAATAACATATTGTGCAAAGAAATGTATTGCACAAACAACAAAAGGAGTACTAACCGCATGTAGAACACGTCTCGACCGTGCACAGTGTTTCGGGTCGTTGCACAAAACTAATTGGACGTATTCAGACATTTTTAGCACCACCACATAAGACTTGCGGACCCTTTCTTATGTACGTTTTATGTATATAGAATGATCCATTTATTACAAGGCAGCAATTTTGTCTGGAAAAAAATTAAATAAAATTCTCTAATAACTTTAAGAAGTAATCATTATCAAAACTGGTTGTCGATGGAGCTCTGGCAAGAACTAAAAAGAAGGTTATATTTTAATAACGGAAACGAACATTTGTTCAGAAAAAAAAACTACTAGGTACAAAGTTTCTATAGTAAATTGTTAAGAGAAAAAAGTGTCTAGCTTACTTTAAGTGAATCACTCTGTATACAGTGTATACATAATGTGTCCATACCCTGTATATATTTACACAGACTATTCGGGCGAGTTGCAAACGGACATTTTGCCAAGAAAAAGCTGACTGAACAACTTAATCATCATTTCCAACGCCAACTTCAATAGGTTTACCAAGAAATCTACTCTGTACTTACGGTTCAACCGTTCTGTTTTCTCGTTTAAAACAAAAAGGACGTCAAGCGCTAACAGTGTACACTTGACTTTCGAAAACGTCCATTTCGGCGGCGTTTTTCGTTTCCAGAATATTATGATATCGCAAGCAGTATTCCTGGAAAAACCCTGTAAATCATCCACGGTGTTTGGTGGTAAAACTTCCAAGTACAAAATTGTCCAATTGAGAATGACCCAGATCAGAAATAGTACCGGGCAGGTACTTTAATGGGCCATACGTTAAAAAAATATTTTAATAAGTTCCAAATTTTTGTATGGACAATTTTCAGGCTTTTTCGTCTTTAAGTAGTGCTCATTGCGCGTTATTCCTATTGAAAATTTGAAACCTCCAATAGGCTATAATTCACATTAAGTGATTTTGGGTCAAAAAGGGAAATGCATACTGGAACACATAATACGAGTAGCCCTTATTAGTGTGCATACAGGACAAAACCTTATCTCTTGGCAAGCTCTCCAGGCAAGGGATAGAACGGGAAAAACGTGAGTATCCTAAAACTTTTTTGCTCTCTTAATGAATGCTTATTATTTCCATCCCGCTGGCTAAGCCAATTAACAAACTCCGCTCGCCTTTTATAAAACATTGTTACAAATTGTATTTATCTCGGAAGTGCTATCTTTTAGTGATGTACATATTTCTATAGTTAAATATCACTTACAGATAAATGATCAAATTAATAATTAACAGCTATACAACTCAGAGTCGGGACTGGAATAAATAATAATCAAATTAGTTTCCTTGAAGTTGCTAAAAATGCTTTATCTTTTTTGATAACACTATTATAATCCGACAGCTACAGCTTGTTATATTATTTAGCCAAATAAACGAGTGGCCTTCCTAAATTTGTTTTTGTTTCGTGTTTAAAATTATTATTGCAGTGCTACTCTTTCAAAACGATTCGGTATTATTATATATTGCAATTTTATGTGGATCCTAGTGTTGGTAATAAAATAGAGAATAGAGAGAAAAACGTTTGGGGAGGTATTTATTTATTTTCTGAGAGGTGGCCATCAAAAGATATTTTGCCTTATGTTTGAAAATGTCCAAATTCGGTCCTGGTCTGTAGGTGTTATTATGACTGAAGTTAAAATATAATAAAATGTTCAGTGCCTTTGTGAATTTAGTGAAGCAAACAAAGATACGTGTCAAGAAGAGAATTGTCTCTGTTCGCTCTGTTACAACAGACGAGACTGTTTTTTTATAATAATAATACAAAAACGAGCCCATATTTGATTGTTGTGTACGTTTCAAGGATAACCGATTATTATTCGATGGCACGGAAAAACGTCACTTTTCATAAACTATATTGCCTTGAAAACCGGCACAATTTATGTGTTGTTCGTTTATTACTTTCGACTATTTTCCAAGCCAACTCACCCGTATTCCAACACAAAGTAATTGCGCAACACGGTCTCGTTTTGTCGCTTTATATTACAAAGGGTTTTTTAAAAAAAAAAAAATCTATTTGAGCACGTTGCAGTATTATGCATGTACTACACACAAGCTACTAATAATACTGGCTAGAAATATTTTCATAGAGTCTAGTACAATGCGGTCACGATTGAAGGAGATAGAAAAGGATTTAGGGAGATAGGAAAAATTCAAATGTCAAAAATGAACATTGTTATTCGTGATTCCAAGCCAGTTAAACTTAGCTATGATAAACGCATAAATGACAAGGAAACAATAAGTACCAGGAGCCAGTCAGTAGCTTAGAAGGTATTAGAGTTTTTCATACTCTAATAGATTTAAGTTGTGACAAATTTAATAAATTTAAGCAAAATATAATTCCATCACTTAAGGTTTTTAAATGGTTGATTAGGTTAAATGTTTAAATGGCGTGTAGCATTTGATAAATTAGTAATAAAAAAAACACCACTATATTATTATGTTATGTATAAAAAATAAACGCATAAATAAATGTATTTATTTATATGTCGTCTATTTATGTGATGCGATAACTGATTAGTTATTACTGTAATTAATTTAAGAGTTTCTGGAAAAGGAATTTAATTAAACATTTTGAATATGGAAAAAAGTATTACGAATACCATCACTTTGGTTTTAAAATAGGATACTTTTTATAAAGATTTTAGCGGATTTAAATTCAGATTGAAGCAAAGTGCTATTAGTTTTAAAATGTGTTTAAAAAATTGTATTTAAGTAGGAACAATTATAATTAAAATGATTAGGATTAGAAGAAATAAAATCGGAAAGTCACTAAGACAGTAACATTATTACTTTTTGTGGATAATTTTCAGATGTATCAATGTCAGACTTGTCGCATAGTTACACAGGATAACTATCTCAATTCTTATACAGTAATCATTTTTTTAAGACAGTGCATACAACTATTTAAGAAAATCGTTTATATTGTAGATACCAACTTAAAACACAAAATCGAAAAAAACTTTAAAGCCTTGTAGACACAAGTATCGTTTCTGAAATCAACGGTTCAATTGGACACTTATGATTTATGATGGACGTTCTCATGTATATTAAATATTATAATTATTCGAATATGAATAATTATGTAAAACAGTATTTATACTGGAATTGTCAAATTAAAATTAAACGTTAAAACAAATGCCATTCAAACAATCACATAAGGTATACCAAAGATACTGTTTATTGAGTCAACACTAATTTGTTCACAATGTCTGTGGTATTGTAAACAAGTAAGATAAATATTTGTTGAAATTACTTATATCATTATTATCATGTTATAATAAAAACCGTGATTTATAAAAAATAAAATACATGAGTATGTTTACACTACATTATTTTTGAGAAACATGTCTATACAAAATAACACACACTATAAATCCAAATTTAATTACAAAATATTGTTTTGTCTAATATATACGTGGCTTATGAAAACACCTTTTATATATATTAATATTTTTAGATTCGATGTGAAAATCGATTTTGATTTAACTATAACAGAAACTCGTAGAATTCGGGCAATCTTAGATATAAATTGTTTGAGATAGAAATCATATATATCTTGTATTAAGTTCTATCGTTTGAACTATTCAAGTAAGTAATATTGTCCAACATCGAACATTGTAAGTACAATTTTAATGCATTTTTATTAAGTTGTCCAATAAAAAAAGCCGTTCAGGTGTATTATTTTTTACAGTTAAAATGAAACTTCACCGCATTTTAATATCACTAATCTTGGTAAACGCTTTGGCATTAAGTATAGGTAATTATTTTAATTTCACACGTACTTACTTAAGGTAGTAAAAAATCTAAAAAAAAAAAAATTTAATGTTTGTTTTCTTCTCGCAGCGGACTATGTAAAGTCGGTTTTCCTTACAAGTCAGTATACATTTTTCATGAAAATAACTTTATAACTAATGAATTTTAATGTTTACCGTTTTTTAATAAATATGTTTAAAATAAACTGATTACAGACAAACACGTCGAACTGGCTTATAAAAAAAGTAAGATACGTTTAATATTGATTTTTAGACGATTTATAAATTAAAAAAATATAGTTTCTGTTCAGATCAATACAGTGCACAAGTTACACAGTACACAGTATTCCAATATAGTGTAAATACTTAAATTATGAAAATCGAATAAGTTATATTTATACTCAAAAGAGCAGTTATAGTTTACTTAGAACACACTTGGCCATATGCAATTACTCTTGTTCTTAAGATTTTTATATTTATTATGATTCCATTTGAAACTTTGTTATTATTATTGTTTATATAGTTTCTCTGAACTCGATCGTTATTTGTTTACAGATAAATCTGGATTGAAGACTGTTATTAAAAATATTGTTACTGGAAATGCAACGATGGGTAGTCATAATAAATATATTATTATAATAAAAAAACAAATAATGAAAATATATTTAAAGTGATATTATATAAATATTTCAACAACGATTTATGTTTAATATGAAAATTTATCAGTCTTATAAATAATAAATTTGACTGTTACATTTTTAGAATCTTTCTAAAGAATCAACAATGATTTTTCCTTTTTCAACCATTTTATTGTATTCACCACACCTCATCAACCGAACCATTGCAATTTTATATTTTTCATTCATATTTATACATTTATATTTTTCTGACCTTCAATTCCGTTTTTTTTTTTATTAATAACAGAATAAAATATAAATAAATCAATATCGATTTATATTTTTTTCTTTTTCAGAAAAAATTTCTTTGATGTTGGCTGTACCGGGTAAAAATAATAATCAAATATTATTTAGACAAATAAATAAGTAATGAAATATTTTCGTTTTAATTTCAGAATGTACAAGAGCGTATGCCGATGTTGACTTCTTACAAGGTGACTTTTTTTTTGATACATTCCATATTAAATTGTATTTTTTTAATTGTTTCTCCAACGGCTCATACTTTCAAGCGATAGTAGTCTGTTCGTATGATAAATCCCTGAAAATGAAACTCAACACTATAATGAATAATTAGATATATTTTAATGGTGTTGTTTTAATAGGTAGATATTTATTATTTTATCGCGGTAAATACAATACTTTTTAAATGCAGGTGCATTTTTGATTTATTTTCTTTTTAAGAAATGTCCTAAAAACATTTTTTCTCAATTAATACAAATAAACATACTTATATACATACTTAAAAGTATCTATTGTACATATATCGTACAATACTATTTAAAATTGTTTTTTATCTTAATATGTCTACGAGGCAGTGTATCTTTATTTCTGGTCTTAATTAGTAAATAAAATCCATGGTCTGGAATTTTAGTGTGAATTCTTTTATTTCTGCCACGTTTAGGGTTAAAACTATTTTAAAATTTGGTCTATTGAAAAAAAAATTCAAACTAAAATATGAAATTTGATATTTCATATAGAAGGGTAAGTAAAAACAATGTAATTTTTTAGACACAGCCTTATATATTATGCATTAACTCCATGAGAAAATATGAACATGTTTATTTATTTTTTTTTTAATTTTAGAAGTTTGTTCCATTGCCGACCAAAATACTTTGCAAGCTGAAATAACCCGTGTTACAAGTGAATGTCCATTTTTTTTTCATTTTAAATTATACATTGATTAATTGGGCTAAGTAATCTTAATTTAAGAGTCACTGTTATAGATTAAATTCAAATACTGGTTTTTATTTTCTGTAAAATTGTTAAATTTTTAAAATTGTGTTACAGGTCTTCTCGTTCCTCAAGGTTACACAGACGAAGGTACTTTCGCATTTATTGATGAATGATAATCTTAAATAGATAATCTCGTTTCCTATTAGATCTAACCTTTAGCCTAGCTATACTAAACATTTCATTAGACCCTTCTGACTGTTGATTCGTTTACACTTGTAGTGACCTGGAAATTGAATACATGGCAAATGTGGTTTTACACTATTTTTTGGGTTTTCCATTAATTTTGTACAATAATATAAATACAAATATTTTCAAAAAGAAAAGCTATAAAATTGTATTTTTTTCTAAAAAAAAAAAAGAGCGTCTTATCCTTAATGAATCACCCAGTAGATATTTTTTTAATGTTGTAACTTTAAGATCAAACTTACTATAAACTTCCTGCATAAATAAATTGATTTTATTAATTTTCATTCATTAATTTTCTAAATCCTTATTTATGCTATTATTAAATTTTGTCTAGTTCTATAGTTTCTCATCAACTAATATCGAGTCCAATCTTAAGGTGTTAGAAGTCTGAGTTTCAAAACAATTGTTACAGCTTTTCGAGACTGAAATGTTATGCAATTATATCAGCAATTTTTTTCCTCTTTTTACTATACCTAAAAACACTTATTTATTAATTTTTGTAGAAATCAGCGGTTATACGTTGCCATATCTTGGAAATTCCAGAAGAAAAATAACTAAAGAACTTACAAAATCTCTAGTTTTCGCTGCAATAAGTAAATATTAGTATTTAATACATTAATTGAACTTTGGACTTTGACTTTTTTTTATACACACATATTATAGTTTTGTTTTGAACAGTAAACAAAAGTAGTAAGCTGAATTAAGCTAGTTTTAAACAAAATATCTTTTTTTTTTTTACTTTTTAAGGCAAAGCCGAACCACAATTCGACGATTTTCCCACCATGTGTCGTTTATTAGGTTTGTTCAGATGCATATCGTTCCCAGGTTCATTTATACAATTTGCCGAGGTCAACTCTAAAGGCGTTTGTACCTTAACTTCAAGGAATAACATACTCGTAACTATGAGCCGGTACAAATACAGAATGGTTAATGGCATAATTGCGGAAGTACATGTCGACCGAGACGATGAAGTATTGCACTTACTTAGTGCACAATTGAACTTGTGGTAATAGTAGCTAACTTTAAAAAAAAATTATATTCTACTGTTGTTGCGTTCAATGTATTTCACAATAAAAATATTTGCTCATAATTATAACCAAATTTATTGATTTTTTTTTAATTGTATACTATATGATACTTCTTGTTTATCCCAAAACTAAAACTGTACACGACTAATGTATAGAAATAGCATTATACATATTTGACAAATGAGAAGATGGCCACCGCGGTTCTTAGTGATAATAGTAAATCCACCGTGTACAAATTTCGAGAATGTCGATCCCCTGCGGGCAACCTCGGTGTGAACTTTAACGAGCAACTTTTTTATCGGATTAGTTCAGTGTTATAAAACGGGACACAGCGTGCTGTGTAATTATTATGGTAATCGACTCGAGCTGCCTTAGAAGATTTCGGTGTTAACGAGCCACCTCTCTTCCGGTAGGTTATCGAGACGTGGATGTCTATTTCCTGGCAACTCTGTAACAACGTCTGGGGGGGGGCACGAGAGCAAACCCACGTTCCACCGATTACTTACTAACTTACCTGCACGTTGACTTTGGCGAGGATAATTGGCACGTTATACACAGCGTTGTACCTCTCGGTCCCTGGGTAATCGTTAGACCGCAGGCAGGCAACTGTCTGTATAATTACCACAAAGACGGGGGAGGGATTTTTTTTTTTTTAATAAATTGCTCGCCTCGGGATCACAACGGAATTGTTGTCATGATCATTGGCCAGACCCTCTCCGTCTGGTGTTTATGATTATGCAAATCGCACGGTATCAAGTCGTTATTAACTCTAACCGGCAAGACGGGGGGCTGTCGTACCTCTAGGCCGTTCGTTCGTGTGACATTAAACAGTGTAATTTAACCGTCATCACACGGCCAACGTTCATTTTAATAGACCCCGCAGCTGTACAGAGGAATCGTTTTGCTATCGCCAACCACTCAAAATCGTGTAGGGTGTATTAAAAAATGTAATCTTTTTTTCCATATTGTTTTCGTACAAGGCTATCTCAATTGGGAAGCCAAATAAAATATAGGTTTAGATGATCAAATCAATTAGTCTGCCACCGGAGAGAAATCAAAGAGTTAAAAGCAATGAGAGTGGATTGAAAAAAAAAACCACTGCTGTGACATACAGAAGGGTTATTCCATCCCCACCTCGTGCCCCCCCCCCCTTTTTGTGTTCCAGACACAGGACGTGTCAACACCTAAATTGATTTTGACTAACGAATGTTGCTCGATTGCACAAAGATGCGGGTTATGATGGTGTATGCTCGGCTGTCAAAAGCGCCTTAACAAGATTCGCTTGCTCGCACCAGAGTTTGT